CTATCCTCCCCATCCTGAGCAGGTTCCTACACCCTTCCCTGAATGTTTGTGGCACCAATGTCAATGCAGTGAGTTCAAATATACACCAGTATAGCTGAGGGAAAGAATTTGGACTAATAGATTTAATAACATAGCAGTAAATATGTGAGTAAGGACCCTACCTAACGTCCTGTGAAGGATACTGAGTTGGATGTAGTTACAGTAGCTTGTTCATCCTTTCTGACTCACCAGATTTCATTTCAGTAAGTTATTGGCTTTGTTTCTTTCCCACCTTTTTGTAGGGATAATATGTTTTGCATTGGGAAATATTGTCAAACTATGTGAGGCACCTGAAGGTAAATGGATTTAAGTCTTTGAATGGAACAGTGTCCTCAGTCTGAAGGTCACTATTTCAAAATATTACAAGAGAGTGAAGCTTCAGCTCTATTTATGGAAACAAACAAGAATCCATAAGGCCCTTCACTGGAAATATTTCACTGAAATTAATGAGACTATTCCTGAATAAGATACTCTTTGCAATAGGTTTTGCCACCTACTTTTTATCTGTGATTAGATGGGCAATTTGACCAATTCACTTTTTTATGCTATTTGCAGCACCTGGTGAAACTGTTGGCCCTTGGCCTTTCTCTGCCAAACTGCCACTGCATGTTATTAGTATAAATCAAAGGAATGCTGTAAGTAGAGAATATACTTAGCAGATTGCATTAATCATTGGGGTTTGTGTCCTTGGTCATGTATTTGTTTATTAAATCAAACATTTGCATATTTAACTGCTTAGCCAATAAATATTACATCCCATAATATAAAGTGTAGCTGTGGTTTCACTTGATCAGCCAACAGTGTATTCACAGAATAAAGCTAATTCTGTACAAGATGTTTGTTTGTATGCACAAATGGGGAGTGTTTATGAATATGAAAACCCAAACATTTGGCATTATTGGATTCTTGCAGAGTCTGATGCTGTATTCCAAAAGGAATCCCCAAGCATTTTTGTAAACTTTGCCACCATCACATAGTTTCCTACTACATTGAAACATTCATAGTTCTAGAGATAAACCATAGCAAACACTCTTCTAGAACTTTTGGTTAAATTTCAGATACTAGATTAAATCACTGGGCCTTAACCTGCCACTTTTACTCATGTGAGTAATCCTTGCTCATGCAGATAATCTCATTGTCAACACTACAACTTCTTCTATGTGGACTAAGGTGGCCCTGCACCTTGGTTTATAGCAACTTCTAGAGGGCCTAATGAGAGGAAGAAACAGATTAATGGAAGATCTTATTGTGCTAGGATTCTAGAACACTTTTTTCTTCAATTACATTTTTAAAAAATGAGTTACAATATATTTGTGTCTGTTAAGTACAACACTGGATTTTGTTAGTCAAACACTCAAAGATATTTGGACTTTGCTCCTTGTTTCACAATATACCAAATATTCTGGACTGTTCAAGCAACTATTTCACAGTATGCAAATACATTTTACAAGTTACTTTTTTTTTAAGTGGCATGTTGATTTGTTTTGAAACAATGGAATTGTGGGGGGCCAATTCTGAGATACCCTGTGCTCCTAGGATGGTAAACATCGGTCCTCAACTCCAGGATGATTTCAATGGGAGTTGAATACTTCTTAAGCCACAAGAATGTCCCTGTATATTAATAGTGGACTCTAGTACTCCTCCAGAACTCAGTGGTAGCTGCTGCTGCTGGAGTCTTATACTTTTCCAGCTTGTTGACTGGCAAGAAGCAAGCATAAAATAAGTAATCTGAGTGATTTTAATCAGGAAATGTATTTCTTTCATTTTTAAGATGCTTCTGATTTAACAGAACACACTTAACAGGCATGAATATCTATAATTCTGTAGCCTTGCCGTGGGGTTTTTGATTATGTGTTTACTGCCATAGTTCAGGTTGTTTGTCACCATTTATATTATAAAATTCTTAAAACATTATCTAAAACAGCCATAAATATTCATTCAAGTCTGAAACTTTGCTTTCAAAATCTGTTTAAAAGTTATTTTATGTTTTTATACTTTTTTGCATAAAAATGTTTTAAAGGGTGGCTTTTAAATTATGAATAAAAATGGGTGGGGGACATTATCCCTTGGTTCTGGAGGCTTGCTTATCCTCTTGTAATTTAAAATATGCATCCATTTTAAAATTGATTTTGGCTTGTCAAAGATGCAGGACTGATAGTCCTACAGAACCAAATCCTCTAAGGATTCTCAGAATAGCTATAGCAAGGGCAGCAGCTGCACAAGTCTTGTTACACTTTTTTCAAAATATTATTCTATATTGGGTCAGATCCTGCATCAGGATTCTGATACTAAGAACCACAAGCAATTGTGGCTGTGAATATTCCATTTAAACATGTACAATTTTCCACTGGTATTCCACTAATAAAATTTGCTCAGATCATGCACAATTATTCTCAATGAAAAACAAAATGTGTAGATTTTTCTATATAATTTCTACACTTTTTGGAATCATAACCCCCCATGGAAGAGCTATCATAGTGACAATGATTGTAAACGCCAATTTGACTTTAGGGGCACGGGATCAGACTCTAACTCGGTAAACCTATTAGTAAATTACTTATCCACTTGATAATATTTCCATTAAAATCCAGGTTTTCTTGGTTGGAGTGGATGGCTCATTTTTCATTTTCCATTCGGACATTGTTTTTTCTACCGAGATAACCAACAGGGTGCTAATTGTGTAATGGTGTTTTCTGAGATTTAGTGGGGACTAGATTTTGTGATGTACTGGGAACTCAAATGAAAAATGTATAGGAATTAATATGCTGAATCACATCTATTCCAGTCTGCTGTACAATATATTTAAATGTTTCTGGAAGCCACATACTTTAGAGTACCCAGCTAATATTTGACAGCATTATAGAGCAAAAGAAAAACAAGAGTAAAGTCTCTTAATTGTAAGCTTTTAATAATTTCTTTAAAGGCCCTATGTTGAACTTAAAAACAGCAGATAATACATTAATCATATTAACAATGAAGACCCAGCAGCCTTAGCTTACTTGTTCTTTCCCAAACATGCATCACTTTTTTGCTACTGATGACCCTCTGTACAAGCTTCAAACAGGCTCATTTTATCAGCACAAGAAAGACCATTTCCTGCCCTTTAATAAGTGTGTGCAATGGCAGTTCTGTTTGCATATCCAGGAGGAGAATTTGCCACACAGCAGGTATTCCAGAATGTAGGATGTTCACATATGTTGCATTAACTAGAAATTAAAAAGCTAACATTCTCTTGGTGATTTTGTCCTGCTCCAATACACCATTTGCTGAAATAAATATTCAATTACTTTAAAATTAGTACCCCCAACAAGGAACAATTTTACATTAGTAAAAGACCAAAATCCTTGTTACACAGCACTACACCATATGCTCATATATTAAACATCAAATGTTGCCACTTTTCCTGTAGCACTCCCAGTGAAGTACAGAGGAAGCTATGGGCCTGAACTGATGCCTATCAGCGGGAGTCTTTCCACTGAGTTCAAAGGGCATTGGATCAGGCCCTGTAACAATACTTATGCATATTTTTAGCTAACTAACAATGCACTTAACATTGAGCGATTTTGACACAGATAGGTCATTTTCAGTGACTCCTGGCAGCTGCACTAAGGAAAATAAAAACTATTTTTGGGCAGAGCAGAGTTCACCACTAGATGTCTCACTGTATATTAACAGTTTATCTAACAAACTAATGAAATCTGATAAATACAAACAAATTCTTTTAAGGCCTCTTTTGGAGAATAAGTTCAAAATGAACAAAACTAGACTTGGTTTGCTCCACAGCTATAAAGAACATATTCTTTCATGCAGTAGTTAGAAATGAGTGCATGTAGATGAACATCATCTTACAAGACCATGATAATACCAAGTTAATGCTCCTGAACCTGGGAAGTAAACCAATTTTTCAAGTCTCAAGTACGGCCAGGAAAACACTCATATACTGCATGAACAGAGAAAGCAAATCTGGTTCACAACTGAGATCAGACTTCCTGATTGCAGTAACAAAGCCAAGTAAAGTTCTAAATGAATTTAAGGTTAGCAGTGTGGCCTTGTAAAAGACCGTTTGAGCTTTTTGATTACAGTCTCTGGCTTTTGTCCTTTGGGGGCACAACCTTAAAGTTACTTATCTGTATTTGTTTCTGAGTTCTGATCTCAGAGCATAACTTTTTGAAGAATATATTTGTATATCTGTAAAAGAATTTACCATTTTTTGTTTAATCTTTAAAAAGCTTCCATTTTTAAATGAGAAGACTCCTTTTCCCATTTATACTGTAAGTGTGATTTCCCCAAAGGATGGAGTATTTATTTGTTTTATTTTACCAAAGTTAAATATACATTGTCCTCTTTCAGGTAAGATCCAATTCATGTGCTGTAGCAGCTTATATAAAGGAAATATACGTATGAAGCATTTAAAAATAACACAAAAAGAACGAGGAGGCACCTTAGAGATTAACAATAACACAGTAAAAGCATTTAACCATTATACTGCTGTAAGATAGCATTGTTATAGTACTATTGAGAAGTATATTGTGGTTTCTGAGAATTTATTAGAAATTTAAACATTCTTAATGCCCATCTGCCTAAATATTTGTTTGAGGAATTAAGTTGTTTTCACATAAGAAGCAGAGCACAGAAAGTGTGTGCTTAGGGTCTGATCAGAGCCTCACTAAAGACAACGGAAAGACGGCTGCCGACTTCAGTGGGTTTGGGATCAGCCTCTTATAGTCCAACCTGGTTAACTAAATTAAAGTTCGATGAGCCTGGCGGTGAAACAGGCTCTGGGGAGCTCTCAGTCCATTCTGCTGCTGTCCCACCCTCTCATTGCCCACTGGAGTGCCCCAGGTGGGACTCTCTCAAGGGTCCTCTAGGGAGCTGCCCGCTGATCGCGAGCTGCACCTAGCGTTGGCACTAAAGAGGCAGCATCAATGTGCTTGTCTTGCAAACAAACTGCAACAGGGCAGGGTTTGGGGGGCAGGGAAGGCTAAACTCCCTGGAATCCCCGCGCAGCGTTTTGGAAAGCGAGGTTAAAGCAGATGATGAGCAAGAGGAGTCTGACAGCGTGCGTTTCTCACGGGCTGCTGTGGAGGAGAGCTCTGCACCGCCAAGTCTAGCAAGCAGCTAGCGTGGAGGAGGCGGCGGCAGGGGCTGTGCGCAAGGCTGCTCAGCACCGGCAATTATTGCTCCAGCTGTTTGGACAAAGACACAAAATCCTAAGGGTGGCGGATTTGGCAGCCCAGGAGCGGCGGCTGCGTTGCCTGCCCGGAGCCGGGCTCGTGCGGACTGAGCTGGCGGACTCGGAGTGACTGTGGGATTCCCTCCCTCCCGCGGGAGGCTGGCGCTGGGCAGAGGCGTCAGGCACCTGCCCGGGGGCGGGCTTGGCTCGAACGCTGCGGCCCCAGCGCCACTGGAGGGGAACCCTCGGATCCGCTTCTCAGCCGGGCTCCCCGCTCCGGCGGCCAGGGGCTGCTCCCGGGAGGGGACCCGCCTCCCCCTGCACGTGCCCGGACGGAGCTGGCGCGGCTGCCCGGGTCTAGCCGCCGCCTGTTCCCCCAGTGCACGAGCCTGTGCCCGGGCGCAGCCGCCTGAGAGGAGCAGCCCATGGGCACGGGCTTGTGCCCGGGCCGTGCTGGTGCAGCTGCCCGGCGTTAGCCCATGGGCCGAGCCGCTGCCCGCGACTAACCAGCCTCCTGCGCTGCCCATGTGCTCCAGCCTGCGCCCGGGCGCCGCCGCCGCCGCTGCTGGCTCGGACTAGCCGCCTCCTCCCCCGGTGGATGCCGCCGGGGAGCGAGCGGAGCGCGCAGCCGGGGAGGGGGGCTGCCGCGGCCGCCGGAGCCGGAGTGCCTGCCAGTGCCCTCTGCGCTCACCAGCATGCTTTACTTCCAGATGGTGATCATGGCAGGGACCGTGATGCTGGCTTATTACTTCGAGTACACGGACACCTTCACGGTCAACGTGCAGGGCTTCTTCTGCTACGAGGGCTCCTATCGCAAGCCCTACCCGGGCCCGGAGGACAGCAGCGCCGTGCCCCCGGCGCTCCTCTACGCGCTGGCCGCAGGGGTCCCGGTGCTGGTGGTAAGCAAGAGCCGCTTCTCTCCTCCCCTCCCCTTCTCCAGTCAGGCGGCGCTCCGGCCCCTGGGCTGCGCTGCCCAGCCGGCGCCCGCGAGTGAGTGAACTGGTTGGCAAGGCACCCTCCGAGCCCGGGGACCCTGCTGAGAGGCAGCTGCGGGCTTTGGTGCAGGGCGAGGGCTTGGCGGAGGATCAGAATAACGGGGTATTTCCTTGGTTAGTATGAATCAGCAGCCACCATTTGCCGTGGCTGAGAGCAGGAGAGAGCCGATTTCTTGGGGGGACAAATGCCGGGGGGGTCTTTCCCTTTCAGTCCCTTCTAGGAAGGGGCCTGCTGCTTTCCCAGATACCCGTGTGTTTGGGCTGCAAGTTACCCCATCAGTGGCAATGGAAACCAGGGGCAACAAAGCCCCCCAACCTCCCCCCATCCCCAACGCCCGGGGCCATTTCCTAATGTCTGCAGGGGACTGCTCCGAAGTTCATTTTTATCACGGATGTCTTAACCTGCCCCTTTCCGTCTGAAACCACAAATCGATTCCTTTCAAGAAAAAAAAAAAAGTATGTGATTTTATTAATTTTTTCAAAGCATGTGGGTTAGTCACCGATCAGTGGGCTATATTCGGGGAGCCTATGCTGCTAACGTCCACAAGCCAATATTTCAGCTACTAGTCATCAAAAGCTATATTTCTGTGCATTCATTTTCTGAAAGTAAGTTGATATGCAAACTGGACTAGACAGTGCTCTCTTTAGTGCACTGGGTAGGTGGGAAATAAACCTGTGCACTTGTTACTTTGGTGTGAGCTTCTGTAAATAAGGTTTATGTAAGGTTAATTTCAGTGGTTTTCTTTGTTTAGAAGCATGCAAATGGAACCATAATAAAACATCTGCCTTTAAGTTGATGAATGTACAAGTTGTAATGTGAGATGACAGGGACATTGGCATCATATAATAATCCCTGATCATGCTGTGGAGGAAAGAGTGAGAGGATCAGCCAGGGGAGTATTTAACCATTTGGGATGGCGGGGCACACAGGCACGCGCTGCTGTTGTTTCCACAACACTAAAGACCAGAAGGAGCTTGACAGGCAAGAAAAAGAGCTCTCCAGATTGAAATTATTTATTTTACACACATATTCCCCTTCAGCAAGTTATCTTTAAAACACAATTGCTTTCTCATCAACTAGATTCTGTCAGTAATCTCTCAAATCTAATTTCATCATGCCCCTATATCACCATGATGTTTGATTGTGTCAGATCCTCCAACACAAAACCTTAGGGCCAAATTCTGTCCTCATATTGAAGTCATTGGGGTTGGATGGGTGTAATTATGATGGATTTGGTCCTTGTTTTCTAGGGTTGAAATTGCACCCTCTGGTAGTATGTGTTGTGGAGGTTTTTAGTCCAGGATTCATTTTGATTTTAACAAGTGTTACTAAAACAACCAATTCTGTCATTTTTTAGGTTGTAGGAAAAAACGTTTTGTATGTCTGGACTATTCTTTTGCTGTTTTCAATGCCCAAATGTCTGTTTTGTTTTAAACTTTAACTTTTGCAACAATTTGATGTCTCCTGGGGTTATAGTAGGATTTGCTATAGCCAAGATGGTAGTGACCAAAAATTATTAATGTCTGACAGCCACTTGGTGTTTTAGGTAAAATAAATGGGTGGTTTCCATCCATTTTCTAATAGTTATATATCTACATCACAAACACCATCTCAATTGGTATTCGTTGGCACCCTTGTCAAAGACAGTCTCAACACAATAAACTACTGATTGAATTGGTAGTGCTGTGGAAGTTAAACACAGATAAATTGAGTTTACCCACTTCTCGTTTGGGGAATATGGAGTTTAATTTAGGTTAGTTTGCCCATTTCTTTGTTTACCACTACACCATTGCTCTCTTCCCCTAGCAGAGGCCCCTCTAGAAAAGGGTTTGAGACACATTGGCAGGTCAGGGCATGGAAGCTTGCACGGAAGTTGCCTATCCTGTACCTCTCCCTTGGATAAACAGAAGATTTCAGCCTTTGGGGATGTCAAGCTGGCATCTGTAACAAACACTAAATGAAATTAATAAAGAAAATATGTTGGGCAGGCCACAGGCTAAATTCTACTATGATTCACCCTGGGTAATCCTGTTGAACTCAATGGATTTTCAGGGGATGTATTTTAGTGCACACTTCCAGGCCCATCATGCATAATATGGATGGGCTCTTTTATTTTACTTTGTTGATTTGGCTTGTTTCTTTTCTGTGGAAGAAGTAAAGCTGTTTGTTCTTTCCAAATCCAGAACTATTTATAAGCTGTTGACCAGAGTAAATCATGGTTGAACTCCACTGTTTGAATTTTCCTAGAGATGAATTTGGGTCTTTGCTACTGTACTAAGCACTCCTTTCTACCTTTGTAGTTCTTCCACATACTGGTGTGCAAGAGAACTAGTCAGTCTTTAAAAATGAAATGCAGGGAAGATCTAAAACACGTCACATGGCTAAATCTCTGCATGCATAGCTGAAAATATAGGCTGAACAGGAAGTTATGTTTCCACAAATAGAGATATTAACCTTTTAAAATGTTTGATATGGAAAAACTGTTTAATAAACATCATGTTTTGAAGTGTGTAGGAAAAAAAAATCTCCCCCCACCTGAAAACTTATAAACAGGAAACAAAATCCAAACAATACTCTTATTAATGCTAAATACTAGAGCTGGTTGGAAACTTTTGACAAAAACAATATTTTGATGAAAACGGGGGGAGGGGGAGATCACAAATTCTTGCAACGTTTTCTCTCCCGTTTTCCAAACAGCTCTGATCAGCACATGTTTTCATCCTTAAATTCACATTATTTTCCACTTAAGCTGACCAAGAATGGGAGGGCATCAGGAAAAGCTCTCTGACCCACTTTGGTACCAGATGAGCTGGAGAACACGGGGGGAGCCAACAGAGGGAAGCTTAAGGTATTTCTGCGGAGAAGGTTGTTCTTTCTTTTTATGGAAGAACATTTCTGACCGAAATGGGAGAAGTGCCCTTTAAGGAGTGTTGGGAAGGAGCCACTGTGATTCAGATTTGTTGGGCAGGACAGCTGCTTTTTTGAGGGAGGGGCCTTAGGCCATAATGTCTTACGCTGGTAGAGCTTCTCTTAATAGGTGTGAGTGAAGGCCTCTGTGTATCAAACTTGGGGGCAACTGTGCTAAGTGGGGGAATGAGTGAGCTTCCCAGTGACTTTTCTCTTCCCTAATTCCTGGAGACTGCATAAGTGGGGAGAGTCAGTTCATGGAGGAGCATGTAACGTGTATGTTTGTTTTGAATTGGATGAGTTGCAACATAAACTATCATAGTATATACTGTGATTTACATAATATTTTAATATTATACAGAACATGTTGCTGCTAATGAGAAGTTCCATGAAAGACCTATTCAATTCAATAATAAGCAACTCATCATCCATGCTTATACACATCTAGTGACTAGAAATCCCTATGTAGAGGGAGGGGCTGCAGCTGCTATTGCTTCCCATTGAATGGAGCAGCAGCTGTGGAAGGCCTGGGGTAAAGTCTAACAGCCTGCTTGCGGGTTAGGGAAAATTCAGACTCCAATGTTATACCTGTTTTATGTGATCTTCTTGCTGGGAGATATGAATTTCATATTATTAGGACATACTATAAGAAAGCAAAGTGTGTGAGGTGTCATTTTGAGATCAGGCTCCATGCTATTCAATGTACATTGCAATATTATTTGTAAATGTTTCCCACTCTTAGTTATGCCTTTAGATATAAAATCATGACATATACAAGAAGACGTAGCTGCACACAGGCATACTGTTTACACTGGGAGATATTAAGTCATATCTTTTTAGAACACACTAAGAATACAGTGCAGTGCAAAATGTGGAAGAAGTTGAAATTATGAGATCTCAGTAGAAGAATTTAAATGGCTCCAGTGATGTGAGGTCAAGATCAATGGATCTGAAGATCCAATAGATTGTCAGTAGAATCCATAGGCTTGGCTTTTCCTCCTGACTTTTAATGTGAGTTGAGGATGAAGTAGCAGCTTTAGCTGAGACTCCTTATTTTTCCTGGTTGAAGAAAAAAATGTCCAGAATGACACTTGTATCCTGAGAAATTATAAAAACCTTCTTTATAACTTGAAGTCAAATGTAAAGGTGAAAAGAAATATGGTCTTGATTCATTCTATTTAAAAATATGAAAAAAGAAGCATAGAAATTGTAAGTTTTCTGTTCGGTGCTATTTAAACCTTTTCCCAAAGTGCCAGATTTTGCTCAGCAGGCTGGTTGCTTTTTTAGATTTGTTATGACAGATGTAGTTTGAGAAATATACGTCAGTCTAATCTTTTAGCTTCCAGTGGAAATGATTTGTAGAATTCTCATCTAGTTGCTCATGTTTTCAAAAGCTACAAAATGATCCGGTCTGCTCCATTTCTTTCTGGTAGACCTTAGTAGTGTTTTGTAAAGGTCAAAATGATTAATTGAACAAAAGAATGACTTTAGTGGATCCACATACTATTGCATATGATTGAATTTGACAAAATTATTTAAGCAAATAATCAGTGTAAAACAATGGATGATAGGAACTATAATGTATACTGACTGCTTTATATAAACCAGGAGGAGATGACACATTTTCATTAATACATTGTGTAAACACTAAGAATTACCTCATGCTAATGTTGTTTGCTTTTATATCCAAGTAATAAGCATAAAACATTCACAGTTCTATTTGTTTAGGCAGATTCCTAGCATATTCATATTTTCCCTCTAAATCAATTAGTAATTTGTATTTTAGCATAATCCTCTTAATATCATTGAAAAAATGAGTTTCATGTAGAGCACTGTGTTGGTTTTTTTGGTAGCCTGCATGAACTTTTGCATTGTTGCAACCTAAAGAAGTAACCGATGTCAAAGTCAGATACTGTTTGGGCTAACCTAGATGCAGAAACTCCCTTCTCACTGCTCTTTTGGAGCAAGGACTTCTGCATCATATGTAATGCATATT